TGCACTATGAGACACCAGAGCTGGCTCCCTGCCACCAGTTGGATATCCTGACCCGTGAGCTGCTGTACATGGCACCAGTTTGACCTGGCTCTTTCAACTGTTGTGTTATTAGCAATCCTTAGCCACACCTCTAACCGAGCACCAGAGGGGAAGGTGTCGGTGTAACCTGAGTAAAGGGCTACAACAGGGGTTAGTCCTCAGCTGGTTGTTCATGAATGATCCTCAGGGCCAAGATCTGCTTCTCCATTGCTTCATGCCTGGAATGGGATCTTTGCCGCAGGGGTCCCTCAAAGATGGGTGAGTTGTAAGGAAAGAAAATAGGTTTTCCTATTATGCCACTGAAGTTTTGTCTTGCTTTTCCACAGGCACCGCCTAGGACCCTTAGACCTCGCTTCAGGAAGAAAAGTACCTCATCCTCTGCCACTGAAACAATGTGAGTGCAATGAACCAATAGCACCAAGATCCACAGAATGTCTCTCTTCTGCCTTAAAGAGCTACTCGTTAATAATGTAGGAAACAGCAGTGGGATGGATGTGCTTTGATGTCCAGCGTTGTAGACATGGCCTTTCTCTCTCCCCTCTCCATATCCCTCTGTGCCACGCTGCTCCTGTTGGTCCGTGACCTGGGTAGGACAGTCTGGCACCTGCAGGTGAGGGGTCCTGGTTTGGTTTGCAGAGTGTGCCCCCACCCACGCTGTACCTTCGTGATTTCATTTGTGTCTGCATAGCTCTTGCTCTGTGAATGCACAGCAGAAACAACAATAATCAGTTACTCACGATGATACATTGACAGTGTATTTATTTATGGCTTTATCATTGATGAAGTGGATTTGCAGAACCTGTGGATTTCTCTTTCCTCCCTTCCTCCTCAAGACTGTGAACGATGTAACAAATGTCAAAGTACTTTGACTGTACAAAATGTCCAAGATTCGTTAGCGAAAGCTGAGCTGCAACTGCGATTCTGTTTCTGCAAGTAAATCACGTGTTCTGAGAAAATCATTGTGCTAAACCCATAGAGACAGAACCACTTACAGAGGATGAGGAAGAGATGTGCAAGAGAAAATAAATAGTTTCAACGATTTAATGAAGGAGGAGTCTTAATTTTGATCAGCCTGAGCCAGGAGAGTATTTTGTGGAAAACAATGGCGGGTAGAAGAACTAGATCCCACTGCTTGTGGCCAATGTTCTACTGCCAGTTTTAAAGTGTGAGCAAGCCAGGCATGTGCCAGCTGCAGCCACAGAAGTTAGAATTGCTTCAGTGATGCATTTCCAGGGGAAAACAAACCTTTCTCCCCTGCTGCAACAGTGCCATTCCCAGCACTCTGCTCTCCTGGTGAGGGGCTGCTGTTCTGCTTGCACGAGCAGAGGAGGGCGCTGGGTCTGAGCTGGTTTTTAAAGCCTGGAGTTTCTCCTGTAGCATGGAGTTTGGTTAGAACCACGAGAACCAGATGGAGTGGTGTATTTGTATCCATATATAAATGAGACATATAAAAGGAAGAGGAAGACGTGGTAGGGTTTGTGTATTTGTGCTTCAAGTTGGTGTCTCTTGTGAGTATTAAGCATGTGAGATTCACACATAATTTAATTACGTGGCCCTTTGTGTTTGCTCTTGAACCTGTCACATAGACTAGAAAAACATTTAGCATTATGTTAGGACGTGCCATCACCAGTGGATCAGCACACGGGCTCCGTGGTGAACACTGCTCATGTAGGTCAGGTGTTGCAGCCCAGGATGGAGTGTGTCAGGCTCAGAGAGAACTCTGAAGTGGCCTTTGAAACCTTTCTTGTCCAATGGGTCCCTGAGGTCTTCCCCACAGCTTCCTACACATGTGGGGAAGAAAGGAAGAAACTAATTACATGCACACACAAATGTGTATCTGACCTGGCTGGGAAATGGAAAAAGCAAGCAGGTATTTCCTGTGTCTGCCACAGTATTTGGCCTCATTACCTGAGAATTTTGTTTCCTTTACATGTGCTGATTCAGTCATATTTTGCAATGTGCAAGAAGGAAAAATTCTTCAAAAAGTAAACCAACAAAGCTGTCTAAATAGCAGTTACAGAAGAGTCAATCCTTGGAAGATACTCAGCAAAAGCTTTGAGGAGCTAAGCTTGTGTATTTTGTTTTTAAGCAGCTTTAGAGTTTATTTGATTTCTTTTGGCAAACATTAAAAATAAATAGAAAAACTGCCTGCACTGTTAGCAGAAAATAAAATCCTGTTGCAAGCAAGCCATGTTTCCCTGCTATGCAATGGGCTGCTGTAAGATAAAAAAAGAAGCTGACAAGTTTGCACTCAATTATGCCAAATAACCCCAACAACATAGAGCTGCAAAACATCTGACAAGTTCTAATCTCAGACACACTGTATTAACATTGATTCTCACTAAAACTATTAAATGTGCGTCTAATCTGCTGTTTTACTGTAAACTTGACTGTTTAGCATTTCTTAAGTGCTGAGGTGAAATGTTGACAAGGGAGTTGCCTTATATCTCTCAAAACATTCACTGTATAAATGAGAAAAATAAACCTTTTCATATCTCTGGCAAAAATGTATCAGTTTATCAGCGGAGCTGTATATTTGTGTATAGACAGACAGACATGTCAATGCCTGACCACGTGCACTTGTGCTCTAGTGTTCTGTACAGACGAGAACGGCCACTTGCTTTTGATTCCTCACCTTCCTCACACAGGTTGTTTACAGGTCTTTCCCCAAGTCTGTCATTTCACCCGTTGGCTACGAGAATAAACAACACCAGTGAAGTCTTTTGTTCCAGTTTTTCTCTGGATCCTCTGCCAAGGAACAAGCCCAATTCCGGCGAGTCGCCTTCCTGCGCTGCTGCTGACCCCTCCTGGCACATCCGGGTGTGCAGGACCCGGCAAGGAGAGGACGCAGGGATGGATGGATGGATGGATGGATGGATGGATGGATGGATGGATGGATGGAAGGGGGCAGCAGTTCTTAGCTCCCTCCCAGCTCCAGCTCTGAGGGTGCAGGCCAGCTGACAACTTCCAGATCTCTCCTCCTAAAATCAAGCAAGCTTTCATCAGATGGTTTAAAATAGCAACAGATCTGGGTTAGGTAAAACCAGCCCAGTTTTGGGACCTTTCAGGCAGCTGGGCCCTACCATCAGTCCTGTAGGGCAGGCAGGCACCTCCTGGTGTCTCAGGGAGGGCCGAGAGAGTGGAATCCTGAAGAGAAGAGGCCAGCCCATGGAAACAGCCTTTGCCCAGCTCAAGGCTCCAGTGAAATGCGCATTATTTTGAGCACGTAAAATTGAGGCTGAGGGGAAGGAAAGTGCATCTGAAGATGGTCTGTGGTAAACAGGCCTGTGAATTACCTCACCAATTTGCCATAAATCCTCTTAGTTATGAAGAGAATAAGCTCAGAGCAGCCCAGTGCAGCCCTCAGTGCCTCCTCTCCTGCCACGGGGGCCAGTGTCAGCGCAGCTCCAGCGGTTGCCAGCTGCTGAATTGGGATCACATCCAACACAAGGCACACTTCTCGTGTGTTCCTGTCACCCTGGAATGAATCCCACACTAACCTAAATTATAGAAGTGCAAACCCAGCACAGAAGGAATCAGGTAATTTATTCCTGCCAGGAGGGGAAAAAGCTGCTTGGAGAGAGATGATGCTCCTCCTGTAAACAACCTGCTGCCCCTGGCTGCTCTCTGACGCATCCCCATGTCGTGATGAACCCTCGTGACCGAATGCTCGTTACCCACAGTCTCCTTTTTGCTGTTAGTTTCGGGTCCCCTTTTTGCATCCAGCACCGTATTTGAACTAGCAGAGAACACTGCGTTGGGATTTGCGTTTAGACAAACTATTTAAGGCTCATTAATTGTGCACTTGGTGTGATTTTCTTTCCTGTGATGGGTAGAAAAGGTCTGTGATGCAGTGGTACACACTTGATGCCTCACAAGGACAACAGTATTCCAAAGGTTGATGTTTTGCTGGTTTTGTTATACTGCTTGATATACATCTTGAATAAAGTCTTAATCTTTTCTTTATTAAAAAAAAAACAAAAACAAAACATCTTTAGTCTGTTCAATGTATCTGGCAGGCCAGAAAAATTCCTTTGATCGCTGTATTATTTTTATCTCGATTCTGGCTGACTGTATATAGATGTATTCACTAAGTGCTGCATGTCCTCCAGAACTTTCTGTATTATGAACTGGAAAAAGAACAAAATACAGCTACTGAACACTCTGAGTAATTAGTGAATTCATTGAAATGCTACAGCCTTGTACAGCAAACCACCTCTTGCTACACAGGCAGCTCTGGGGCTGATAACCAGGGACTGTCTGCTCAATAATGGTTTAATTATCAGTCAGTGTTTTGAAGCAAATGCTTTTCATACGCTTTCTGCAAGTAAATCTCTGATGTATCCTGTAGCAAAACCAGTCTAGTTTATCTGCACACTCCAAAAGGACCCTCTAATAAACCCTTGGGTTTGTTCCATTTATATGTGACCAGGAATATGAAGTCTGAGGTGTAGTTAGGCTTAAAGAAAGAATAAACAAGAAAATACTCATATTTGCCCGCTTGAGGATGTCGTGCAGGACCCAAAGAATATATTCTGCTACTCAAAAGCCTACACAGGACACAAAATGTGAGTCCTGTAATGAAATTTGGTGGCCAGTGCATTTTAAAATGAGTTACAAAAACTGCATGTAGCCATGAAACTCTGGGGTTTGAGCTTTTCTTTCTATGCTCTTCTAGTAGCATGGACACATGGCAAGTTTATCTAGTATCATGACAGGCAACAATGCTGAGATGGACCCTGCTCTCCTTTCTCCTCTTCCCCCAGGAGACTCCATTTAGTGAGACACCATCCAGTATGGACACAGCAAAAAAGATCCTGGGATTATTTAAAAATATTTCTTCAAAAAATTTAAATATGTTGATTTACTTTTAATGTTACACACAATCACAGGAAACCACCAAAAATCAGAACACACAGGTGACCAGCCTGACCTTTGCTAAGTAAAACACAGACCACAGCTGAAGAGAATATTGGATATTCCTTTATTTTGGGCATTGATTCCCATAATTCCACTCACATGATATGCACATGTTTATTTAGAAAAGTTACAGGCATTGGACATTTATGTTCCAACATTCAGACCATGGCACACAACCACTCCCTCCTTCCTAGAGAGGGGCAAAAACCAACCTGAGGTTTCTACACCTGAAGATTCGTGCGATCCTGATATTTCTGGTAGGGATCGTCAACGTACCAGTTCCTCCTTTTCCAGAAGGAAGTGGTCATTTTATCCAGGAGTTTACACTGTGTTCTGTTGCACAGCACGAACTCCCTCAGACGCTTCTTCTGGGAAGCCGACTTCTTCCACAGTTTCTTCTTGTAACCAGCCTGCCAGAAGAAAACACACGTAGAGAAAAAAACCAAGTTTTTAAGTAGGTCACTGCAAATACACCCACACAGCCACACTGCTCAGCACAGCACGATAAATCTCTCGCTTTCAGGCAAATGGGAGTCTCTCTACAGAGCTTTTTTAACTTCCATACCAGCCACTGCCCTCCAAGGGAAGGAAAACAATTAGACTTTACACTGACTGTAAAGAACAGGTTCGTACTACCCAAAAAAGTCTCACCTTTCTCCTAACCCAGAGGCCATTGTGCAGCCGGAGGAACCTTTTGACAACGGCTTTCACGCTTTTCCTCTTCCCCTTCCGTAGGCCGTAGTAGGTGAGAGTCCTCGCTGGCTGCTGGAGTATACTTGGAAGTAGAGGTGTGACACTAAAGAAAAAACAACCCCAAAACAGGGGAAAAATAAAACAGGAATGAAACATCTTTTTCTAAAAGTAATCACTGCGCTTTTCACATAAAGAGAGATCAGAAGGGGCTGTGGCTTGCATGAAGGTTAACAAGGATTCATCTAACATTACAGCACAGCACCTGATGACTGAGGAACAGTAACTGCAGGGCTGGAGTCTTGCTAAAATTCAACTCAAAGTTATTGTTCCACACAGAACACCTTTTTTTTTTTTTTTAATCTACTAAAAGCAGTCATACACTCAAGCACAAACATTCAGCTGTTACTGGGATTCAGAAATTTCTTTCAGAACATAAATCACAGAATAGTTCAGGTTGGAAGGGGCCTCTGGAGATCATCCAGTCCAGCCCTCAGCAGAAGAAACAGCAGTGATTACAAGACTAATTGTAAATTGGGCTGCAGAGTATGTCTCATTTTACCTCCTGCTTCAAGCATTAATGGTACAGGAGGGGGAAGCTTGGGGCTAACACAGACCTGCTGCTGAGTGCAAAGGTGCCCGAGTGTCTCAGGCAGAAGTACGTATATGCAGGTTGGGGTCAGTCCCTTCTCCCAAGTAACAAGCAATAAGACAAGAGAAAATAGCCCCAATTTGTGCCAGGAGAGGTTCAGGTTGGATATCAGGGAAAATCTCTTCATTGAAAGGGTTGTCAAGCATTGGAAGAGGCTGCCCAGGGCAGTGGTGGAGTCTCCATCCCTGGAGACATTTCAAAGACATGTAGATGTGGCACTTGGGGACATGGGTTAGTGGCAGCCTTGGCAGTGCTGGGTTAATGGCTGGACTTCATGATCTTAAAGGTCTTTTCGAACCTAAATGTTCTATGATTTCATTATATTCATATATAGAGAGGTGTTTCAATATAATATATATGTAATATATATATTACATACTCTTTTATATAAATATATATAACAGAATATATTAATACTAAAAATATAAATGAGGAAATATTAATACATTAAGAGAATACATACAATGTATATTATATATAATACATATGAATGTATCGCATTATATTTTTATATAAAATAGTATATTGTATATAAGTATATATAATATATATACAAATATATATATATTTAAACATATTTTTACCTATCCATTTAAAGTAATAGGTCATAAATATGTTTGAAATAGTTCATATGCAAATAGGTAAAACATTTTAAATACTTAAATATGTAATTTATATATATTGAAATAGATAAGTAAAATTTTATATATATATTAAAATACAGAAATAAAAATATTTTCTATCTAAAAATAGATGTTGAAATGCATAAAGATAATAAAAATACACAAAAGCATACATAAATGTATAAAACTATATATAAATATGTAAAATGTATATATATATACATACATATGTACACATATATATACACGCATATACATATGCATACATATATACACATACATATATACATATAAAAATATAAAGGCATACATAAAAATATAAAAGCATATATAAAAATATAAAAGTATATATAAATATGTAGAAGTGTATATATACACATACATATACGCACATATATAGATATACACACACATATATATCCATATATATATATCCATATATATACACATATATATCCATATATATATATATCCATATATATACACATATATACATATATATATACATATATATACATATATATATACACATATATATACACATATATATATATATTAAAAAATTGCCCCAGATATACACATAGAACTAATTTTAAGTGGATATTTTGCAGGAGGGACAACCCGTGCAGCCGGTACCTGCTGAGCACCGAGGGTGCCGCTGTCTGGGGCCGGTTCCCTCCGAGCGGCCGCGGTGCCCAGAGCGGGGCCCGGAGCGGGGCCGGGGCCGGTCCGTGCCCGACACACCTGGCGGGGAGGGCGGAGAGCGGGAGCGCCCGGGGCGCCCAGCGCCGCAGGATCCCTGGGGGGACACGGAGAGACCTTCAGCACGAACTGTGACAAGACACACGCACCCCCGAACCCGACACCGCCCTGCACCGACACCGACCCGACACCGCGCCCCGAGCCGCCGCCGCCATGGCCGCGCTGCGCCGGGCGGGGCCGCGCCGGGACCGCCCACAGGCAGTGCCGGGGCTGCTGAGGGACCGCGCCGGGCTCCTCCCGCACCCAGGGCCCCGCACAGCCGCGGGGGTCTAAAGTGTCCCCACCACACTCTCAAATTAATCTCGAGCAGTGGTGGAGGTTAACGTTGTATTGTCCTGGCCCCCCCCCCCCCCCCCCTTCCCCGTTTTTAAGCCTGTTACTAAAATGTCTCGTAAAAGTCTCTACTAAAAAGTGTCGTCCACTAAAAAGTGGATTTAACTTATTATTTCTGAACGTCACTGGTGTATTCTTACATTTTTTTTTCCGTTCTGAAATCTGGCTGGGCCCGCTGGAGGATGGGATGGAAATGGCTCCTCAGGGCTCTGAGGGAGAGAGAGTTTACGAGCTATTTGTGCGACCTGTAAAAGATTACACCTGCAAATTGTGCATAAATGCTATATAATGTGCTGCGGTACATCTGTGTTACGTTCAGATTTCTTTCTTACTTTCTTTCTTTTGGGAAGTTTCTTTTTTTCTGTTATAACGCAGAAAATAAAGCCGTCTGGACACAGTCCTGTGCAATGTGCTCTGGGATGACCCTGCGCGAGCAGGGAAGTGGGGCCAGGTGACTCACTGTAGTCCCTTTCCAACCTGACTCATCCTGTGGTTCTGCGATTTTTATTTTTTATTTTTATTTCACTCTGTCCCTGACGGAGACGGTCACAGGAGCGCCCGAATCCGGCGCGCGCACCGCCCCACCCCACCTCGCGCGACGGCGTCTCGCGACCCCTTCCCCGCGCTCCGATTGGCGGCGCGTGGCTCGTCACGCGGGAGCGCTCGCGCAGGCGCGGAGCGCTCTGAGGGGCGGGGCAGGGAGGGGGGGCGGAGGCGGCGCCGGCAGGACCCGCGCACGGCGCCTTCCCCGTGGGCCGCGCCGGCCGCCGCTCCGAGTCATGCTGCGGGCCTGCCGCCGGGCGGGGCTCGCCGTGGCCAAGCAGGTGAGCGTCGGCGGCGGGAGCCCCGCGAGCCGCCCCCCGCTGTCACCGCTGAGGCCGCGCCGGGCCTGCGGAGCGGGGTTGGGGTGGGGTGGGAGTGTGGGGGGGTCCTGTGACCGCGGCGCGCCGCGCGCTGAATGACTCGGCACACGCTTGCCCCGATAGGCTGCGCAGCTTTTGACTGGCGGGCGCGACCGCCAATGGGCGCGGGGGGTGGGGGTTGGTGGGTGGGGCGGACTGCGAGTCCCGGCGTGCCTTGCAGCGCCGCGCTGTTCCGTACAGCGCTGCCCCGCCGCGGTGCGCGCCGGGACTCATAGTCTGCGACGGGGGCTGCGGGGCGCGCCGCGGTGCACGCCGGGGGCTGTAGTCCCGCCGCCATGGCCGCGCCGGGCCCGCCGCCCCGCTCCGCCGGGCCGGACTGGGGTAGCGCCGGGGCCCGCGGGCAGGGCCTCGGGGGCGGCGGAGGCTCGGCGGGGCCGCGCACGGACCGCTGGCTCCGCGGGGAGGGATGGCGGGCGCGCTCCTCCGCGGGGAAGGACGTGACCTTGCGTTCCCTGGCGCGGCCTCCCGCCCGCACACGGCGACACCGCAGGGTCGGGGCCGGCTCAGGAGTTCCTGTGCCCGGGGCGGGGAATGAGTAATTTGAGCGCTCGGGTGTGAGGGCATCCTTCTGAGCTCACGGTGGGACACCGGGAGGGCACAGCACGCCGGGGGGAAAGTGCCCGTGGGACCCGTGCGTTGTGTCCCGGACCTTTGCCTCTCCTTATCAGCAGAGATAAGGATGGTGATGTGCTGCAGAGCCCTTCTTAAAGCAGTCGGCCAACTTTAGGAAGCCACGGGGGTCTGTGGCGAGGGTGGCTCCTCTAGCAAGGCCACAACTTTTGTTTCAGCTGTCTTCATGACTAATAAAAAGTGAGCTGATCAGATCATTTTTATACCCTGCTCTCCATCTCATATTCTTTAGCCTCTATTCACGCCGTTCAGCAAAGGAGAAGCTGTGCATACTCCCCTCCAGCACTTCAGCTGCCTTTCCTTTGCTGCTCCATAAGGCTGGAGAGTCCTCGGGCCAGGTCACCTGATGCCCACTGGAATAAGGCTCCGGGTTTGCCGGGCTGTGGAAAGTTTTAACTGGGAGTTGAGAAGACAGAAACCAGGCTTTGGCAGATGTTTATCACTTGGGGCTAGGGGCCTCTGGTGGTCTAGTGGTTAGAGTGTCTGACTCTCACCGCTGCGACCCGGGTTCGATTCCCGGCCCCCTGGGCAGGTGGAGCTCGTCAGCCGTGGAAGGCAATTCACCTAAGAGAAGGTCACTCTAAACAAACCTACATCCTGGGGACCTCACTGCCACTGTCCAAGCTTTGCTCGGCCCCGGCAGATGAACCTCAGGACTAAAGGGTGGGCTCAGTTCAGCGCACGCTGTGTCTCACCTAAAAATCCACTGCGCAGGCTGGAAGGGTTAATGACCTTTCCCAAATCTTCGCTCGCGAAGACTGGCCATTATATTTGCATGTGCTCAGCCTTTAACAGGATCCGGAACAGCCAGAGTGGTGCTTTGTGGCTGGAAGTGGGTCATCAGGCTATGAGTGAGTGGTGGAAGAATCACAGAATGGTTTGGCTTGGAAGGGCCATTAAAGATCATCTTGTTCCACCCCCTTGTCACGGGCAGGGACACCTTCCACTATCCCAGGTTGCTCCAAGCCCTGTCCAACCTGGCCTTGGACACTTCCAGGGATGGGGCAGCCACAGCTTTTCTGGGCAACCTGTGCCAGGGCCTCACCACCCTCACAGGGAAGAATTTCTTCCAGAGAACTGTGCAAACACAGAGATGCCACAGCACTCCGTGAAGTTTGTTATCTGTACCTTTACTGATTGTTTCCTTACTTAAAAAAACCCAGCTTTTCTTTTATCCCTGCTTATATTTCCTGATGAGATCAAGTACAATGGAAGTCTGGTTTGGACAGAGAAAGTGGGCATGCAGTGACATAATTTTTATACATTTTTGCTTTTTTTTATTCATGTTGAAGGGAAGTTTTGTTCCATACTGTAGCACATGCACATGGAGACTGTTTCAGGTCCTGCAGATTTTCTGCAACTAAAACTTGTTTCTTTTTGGGTAGCAAAAAGAGACATAAACAGGAAATTAGAAACCAGTGTTTAATTATAGTGCTTGTGTTGCAAGAGGTGCAGAGCTGGGGACTCTAATCAAGAAGGACTTACCTGATCTGAGATGGTAATAGGTAGATTTTTCACAGAAGTGAAAACTCCTGTCACGGAAATAAGACCCTCTGGCTGTTGGCATCTCTGTTATATAGAAGCTGACAGTGAGGCAGGTCTGCCTGTCTTTTGGGATGTTCAGATACTTTTTTACAGGTTAAAACCCCCAGTTGTCTGAGGACAGCTTTACCTGGTCAGGACTTTGGGGTAACAGGACCCTGATGATGCTCGGTGTCTTGAGCAGACTTAGAGAGCCTGGAAGCAGAGTGTGGCTGGATGGGAGTAGCAAAGCAGCTGCTGCTCCCCAGAGCCAGAGCAGCATGAGGGTATAAGTATGAAAAATCCCAGTAGAGAACTCATGGTGGAAAGTGGGAAAACTTTTAGCCTTCTCTCTTACTGTGAGCTCTGTGTGTCAAGGATCACTAAGTTTGTTAACAAGTAAATTAAAGTTGTGGCTTTGAGAGAAGTTGTTCTTCATACCTTGATTTCCTAAATGTTTGATGCTACGTGTGCAGTGCTGCAGAGGGAGTCTTCTCTTATTTGAAGTATTTTTGTAGTTCTATTTAAAAGGAAACAGAGCTTTTAGTGTGTGATATATAGCAGAAGTCTTGAATGATGGGAGATCAGAGTTCTGTGGTCAGATGTCCTTGTTACACCTGACCTCTGTCATAACAAAAACAAACTTCCTCTGAAGTTTCTGGTTTGGTGATTAAATAGTAGATAATGAGTGTATAATAATAAGCATTTAAGAAGTTGGGTGAAACAAATACAAGGTAGAACTGCTGGAGGAGGAGGAAGGAATGGAAACAGCTGCCCCTGCAGTGCCCTTGATGTGGGGATCTGTGCTGTCTCTGTGCTGCCTCATCCAAAGGGTTTTCTCTGTCTTCTGCATGACAGCAAATGGTTTATTTCTGCCTTTTACACAGCATAGCAAAGCATGTGTGATGTATTTCCTCCAAATCTTTTGAGGCATTATTACTAAATAAATAACAGTGTTCTAAAAAATTACAAACTCCTGGGAATTATGCAAAGGGGAGATTAGAAACTACGTGCAAGTTTCCGAGTTATGGTGATACAGCAAATAAAACCAATATTATTATGATGGCCAAAAGGGAACAAGGCTTCTTTAAAAAAAATTATTTTTAAAAAATCAGGGATTTTTTGAGGCAGTGCTGTACTTGGATGTATTTGGATGTGAGGGAAGACAATCAAACTTGTGTTCCTCTTCATAAAACCGATACCTACAGACTTTTGGTTGTTGTTGCACTGGCCAGCTGTGGGAATTTGTTGCAAAATCTTGAAAGAAAGTTGGTAGGGGCTTGTTTTGCGTTTAGTTGTCACTGCCATTGCTACACATGTGAGAGTCCAATGCCATACATTGAAGACCTGTGTTTTAGTTCCTCTCCTCTTGACAAAAAACAAGTAAAAATGAGGATTTGTCTAATCCTAGAACAGCCCAGCTTGGAAGGCACCTCAAAAGGTCATCTGGTCCAAAGAGCATCTGGACTAAAATCAATAATCCCACTGAAAAAACCCTCCTGATGTGCAAAGCGTAAATGCTGAGCTACGAGAAGCAAATGTTCTCCTGGCTCCCTGAGCACAGCCCGGTCCCAGGAGCAGGAACAGATGTGTTTACTGAGGGTGTAGAACTAAGTGTTGTTTGCCATCACTCAGTGTGAGTAGGGGTTTAGCCAACAGGGACATGGCTGAGCTGGCCCAGGCACCAGGGTTGTGGTTGTGGGAGCCTCCAGGATCACCAAGAAGGCAGGTCCAGCCTGAGCAGGGAGGTGGGAGTGACAGTG